TACATACATACACATATACATAGACATATACATATACATATGCATATACATATACATATACATATACATATACATATGCATATGCATATACATATACATATACATATACATACATACATATATATATATATGTATGTATGTATGCTTGTTTGTTTGTACGTATGTAGTAGGTATGTAGGCATGTATGTATGTATGTATGTATGCATGTATGTAGGTATGTAGGTATGTAGGTATGTAGGTATGTAGGTATGTCTGTATGTATGTATGTATGTATGCATGTATGTATGTATCTACACATATACAGAAAGGTATCGCTGTAAGGGTTTCCAGCATGTCTACTGCGATGCTTTTAGTAACGGTCACTTCAAGGGTTACCATAAGTGTCCCAGACTGAGTTTTTTCAGGGTTAAAGTTTCACTCTGCATCTACGGCTGTTGAGAAGTAAATGTGGTCAAGAGGCCGCACAAAGCCGGGATCCTAAATCCGGCACTAAATCAGAAGTCATGAGCGCTAAACCCAACACCCTAAACTCTAAATCCTAAGTCCCGAGCCCTACACCTGAAACCCTGTGCTTTGGATTCTCTGGCCTTGAATACTCGCGAGGCCTCTTCCTCGCTGATGGTACGGATTCTCACCTCCGGGTGTCATAACATGGGGTTGGGGGGGTTCATGACTAAGTTTTTGGTTTAGGTCACCCTGAACCCTAAACCCTAAACCATTTGGCTCCAAAACTGACAGCTTGGGGTCTAGGGCTCTGGCTTCATGAGCCTAAGCATAGGATTGAAGATGTGGTTTAGGGCTTAGGGGATGATGGTACTGTTGATGATGTAAATCCTGCATTACCCACAATAAGGAATATACCATAATTCCCATAGTTTAGGGTCCTTAGGTAATGCGGAATTATATGATCATCAAGCGTAGGAGTCATACCGGGCTATGTACTCGGAACGTCATTGATGCCCATACAAGGTAGTGGATGAACAAATTGCAGAGGCTGCAGAGGCCTCAGCACTTATATCATGTCATTCCCACGGCAGGTCTGCAGACATATCAATTTGAAGTAGCAGGACCGCCATTCAGGTAGTCGGGTTTTGGTGCGGAGCTTTCTGCACGAAGTTGCAGTTAGGCTGTAGTAATCGGGCATTCGGATGCCTTTTGGTAGTGCTAGGTGCCCTACGTCCCCTGGCCGACGAAACCGGGGTGCGAAGCTCACAGGCTGCGTCTCCGGCAACGGACTGGGGGCTTGTCACTGTGACGGTTGGGGTTTGGGTTGTCTAATGTATGGACGTTAATCATCAGAATAACATCAGAATAAGGTTATGGGGCAGATTACACTATAATTATGATACCCTAAACCCTAAACCCTAAACCCCAAATTCTAATAAGGTAATGATTAGGGCCCCTGTAGTAGGGTTCTCGCCTTGAAAGCTAAGGCTCAGTGTGTTCGATGGTAGTCGAAGGCTGGAGCCCAAAGTAGAAGCTACTTAGGGTTTAGGGTTTAGGGTTTATCTCATTGAACATGGCCATGAGTCCTGCGCAAAGGCTCGCAAACAACAAACACAACCCATCTAGGGTCCACACATCCCAGACAAAAAAGCTACACAAATCACCGTAAGTACAGAAAGCAGACCTTCTCAAGAAGTTCAAAAAGTCGAAGCACGCGGCCGATGAACTAACGTCGTCCCCAGATCAGCACCGAAAGGCTGCGAAACTCAACACGCAGGTGAGGTTTGTGCTGTAGGCTTCCTTCTTAGACATCTTTTAGGGCTTTAGGGTTTTAGGCTTCAGGGGTTGCTGTATCAAGATGCAACAGAAACGCGAGTTAGGTCATCCCTAAACCCTAAACCCTAAACCCTAAACTCTAAACCTTAAACCAAGCTGCAAGGTCCCCTTGTGCGAACTTCGGCGAGAGCAGACCAGGACTATCAAGGTCCTTCGCTTTTCGGGTTTAGGTTTAGGGTTTAGGGTTTAGGGTTTGGGGTTTAGTGTTTAGGGTTTAGGGTTTAGGGTTTAGGGTAACCTAAAGCATACCACCTGGTACAGGGGCCTGATTAAGCAAAACATGGCCTCGAGCATGGATTGGTACTTCAGTTTTGTGAGCTCTTCTAGAGGAGTCCTACCCAGAGAGTCCTTAAACCCCGTGCGCAAGAAATGTCCTTTGAGTTGTAACCGGAACCCAAATATAGTTCAAGGCAGAATCCAGAGTTAAGGGTTTTGGAATCTTTTTGTATTCGGGGGCCTGACGCATCGAGATAGGGTTCCTTTTACGGTTCCTCTAAACGGTTCCATAAAGGATCTGAAGGTGCTTAAGGGTGGGAGCCCAACTAATTAGAATAGGGCTGCATGTTAATTATGTTGCTACCATATGGGGGAGATGAAACAAATGGTTGTAGACCCTGTCAAGGCTGCGCAAGAAACCCGCTTTGTTGGCCGAAAACCTGGGCTTTTGACTAGCACGTAGGGTTCGGGGTTTAGGCTTCAGGGTTCAGGGTTTGGGGTTTGGGGCTTTTGGTTTAAAGTTTTGGGGTTTACGGCTTAGGTGTAGAGGGTTCGTGCTAGCTGCTAGCTGCTCAGGAGAAAAACCTTGAACTCTCCATCATCAGGAAAATCACTCGCTTTTGTATAGATAAGCCTCTTCACAACCAGGATATCATAGCTTTTGTATAGGTCTTCAGAAGGGATACATGGCATCATTCTTACTGTGGACTGCTCCCTGATTCACAATGTATCGGTAATGTAAGATGTTGCACGTCAACTGCAGGACTTTGTGTCGATACAGACTGCATCCCAGACCTCTCTGCAGCAATAACCCTGACGCCCAAGACCCGAGGTGTCTCAGTCCGAACCGCTGAAGCACCTGAGAACTAAACAAATGAAACATGGAAATTTGTATGAAATACTCAGACCACAGAGAACCCCTTAAAGAATCCTATGAGAGCCCATACAACCACCTACACATTGTCAAGCCTGAAGTCACAGTGCGAGATGCCAGAAAAACCAGCCTTGCCCCCCTAACATCATAATAACAATAATAAAATATAAATATTAAGAATGATGATAATGATACTACTTGTAATAATAATAATAAGAAGAAGAAGAAGAATAATAGTAATAATAACAATACAAGCAGTCATCATCATCACCATCACAAGAATAGCCCCAGACGCCGGACTTCAGTCAACTTCTTCTTTGCTCGAGCTCCGAAGGGTTTAGGGTTTAGGGCGACTTCATCGAGGTGCCCTTGGAATGTCGTGAACCCCTAAAAAAACCCTAGTGAAAAACACCACGAGCTATTCGCTTCTACTTGAAGCTTTGCCGGAGTATACCTTAAACTACAGGGAGCTTCAATAATGTGATTTAAGGTATATTCCTTAACTAAGGAATATACCTTACATGGCCTTAAGGTATATTCCTTGACTAAGGAATGTACCTTACATGACCTTAAGGTATATTCCTTAACACAGGAATATACCTTACATGACCTCCCTACACCCTAAACCCTGGATCTGACGAGCATCTGGGAGCGATTCGGGCGTAGACACCGTGGGCAAACACCTCGCCAGCGCGTCATGGGAAGAAAGTGCCAAAGCCATGAGAGTTTCTAGATAAAGGTTCTGTGACATGACATGAAAATGATGTACGCTAGTCTGCTATGCTATACTATACGATAGTTTAGCGATCCTATGTTACACTGTGCTGTACTAACCTATCCCTGACCATACTTGCACTATGCTATACTATACTCTATGCCATGCGATGCTAGGCTAGGCTAGGCCCGGCTATACTCTACTACACCATGCTATACGAGACTATGAAATCAGAAGGGAGACAAGGCTTCAAAGATCCGTCTCAAAGTCTCAGTGCATATCGGATGAAAGGCCTCTACACCCCAGACGAGAAAGCAAGGCAAGACCGTAACTACGCTGGCCTCATCACAGTGCATGTATCAAGTCTATTAGAATATATCATAGCATCGTCTTACAGTATATCATGATGGGCTATACAGCATAATTTAAAGTCCAAGTAGTAGCAGCAGCAGCAGCAGCAGCAGCAGCAGCAGCAGCAGTAGCAGTAGCAGCATCGTCCGGGTCGTCGCCACTACCACCATCAAGAACAACAACATCACCGTCATCTTCGGGTTCTTGTTCAGACTCAGCGCCCACAGCGGCAGAAGCGGCAGTCATGACATGTCACCATCAGGGTTTAGGGTTTAGGGTTTAGGGTTTAGGGTTTAGGGTTTAGGGTTTAGGGTTTAGGGGGGGGGAATCTGGTAACACGCACACTCACCAATCTACTATCTCTGCAGCAGTGACTGCAGGTGGTGCTACTGCTGCAGCAACAAAACAACCAAAGGCGACTTCAAATCAAGGCCCAAGGCGCTTCAAACTTCTCGCGGCCCTCATCGCTCTTGGGGTGGGGCCGCGCTAGAGAGCAAGAGTACTGCGGAACGCCCAGACCCAAACGGCCACAACAAAGACGTGTTCAAGGGTTGAGGGTTTAGGGAAGATGAGCCCAAGGGTCCAGGGTTTCGGAGCTAGGAATTTGGGATTCAGGTCCGAGGTTCGGGGCTTAAGGCTTAGAGCTTAGGGATCAAGGCTTTTGGGGTTTTTCCTTCGGGTTTAGAGCTGGGGGAGGAAGGAGATGAAGGCGTCGAAGTTGCGAATTTAGGGTTTAGGGAGCACGAAGCCCTAATGTATCAAGACAAGCTTCGGCTTGAGGATTAAGGGTGTAGTGTTTATTTAGACCCTAAACTGCCCTAAACCGTGGACTGTAAACCCCAAAGCCTCAACTCCCGAAACCGATGCTGCTTTAAAGGCTGTTTATACCCTTTCTGCTGAAAAGGGGGTCTGCACACTTAGAATAGTATCTGGGAGTATATGCATAGTCAGGAATCTTAAGCAACAGTACTACCAATTTCAGGCTTCTATACTATCCCGCACCTGTAGCAAAGCGGACCTTCAAGACCAGGCGGCAGATCGATGAACAACCTTCCCTCCCTTTGCCCCTCACCGCCCTCCCCATACCGAAAAACAGCAACAACAGCTGCAACGACAGCAGCAACAACAACAACAACAACAGCAATAGTTCAAGCAACACTTGTACAAATTAATCATCCCAACCCTAAACGATAAACTCGAAACCCCAACCCGAAATAATGAAAACAGCAACGTGAACAGAAGGACACCCACAACCTCCGACAATCCTAAACCCTAAACCCTAAACCCTGAACCCTGAACCCTAAACCCTAAACCCTGAACCCACAAACCCCGACAACCCAGGCAACGCGCCTACGCTCTCGAACCCTTCCTTGTTCGAACCCCAAGTTTCGTGCCGCCCCATGGGGCGTTGATCTTTAGAGTTCAGGGTTTGGGAAAAGCCTTTAGGATTTAGGCTTTAGGGTTCAGGGTTCAGGGGCTTAGGTTTAGGATTTAGGCTTCAGGGTTTAGGGTTTAGGGCTTAGGGTTTAGGGCTTGAGATTAAGGCCTTAGAGCAAGCTTTGGGAGTTTTGCACTTCAGAATTGGTCCTGGATTAAGTTTTAGGGATCAGGGCTTAGGACCCCCAACCCTAAATGCTGAACCCTAAACCGTCCTACACCCTAGAAACCCTTTCCGCCTCAAAGCCTACACCGAGGAGACACGTGCCCTAAACCCTAAACCCTAAACCCTAAGCCCCAAAGCCCTAAACCCTAAACCCTAAACCCGTGCAAGGCCAAGTGCACCTCAAACCTTTGCCGCGCCACGGGGTCGACCTCAACAAGCACCAGTGATCGAGGTGCTGAAACGGGCATGGACTTGCCCTAGAGAAACCCCCAAACCCTAAATTCCCTAAACCCTAAACCCTAAACCGCTAAACCCCCAAACCCTAAGCCTAGAATTTTCGGGAAAGCCGTAGAAGAATCCAAGCACTTAAAGCCTGTTCACGGCACAAAGAACCCTCGAAAACCCATCAATGCCCATATAAAAAAAACAATTTAGCAAAGTTTAGGGTTTAGGGTTTAGGGCTAAATCCTCTGAAACCTCATAAATCCCAACAAACCCCTAAACCCCACACCCGAAGCGCCAGCGCCCAGGGGCAATGTGCCCTCTGATCTGCGCGCCGGCTCTGGCCTCTGAATAGGTTTGGGTTTTTAGGGTTATATAAGGGTTTAGGGTTTAGGGTTTCGGGTTTAGACCTTGGGGTTTAGGGTTTAGAGTTCCGGGTGTAGGTGGCTCCTCTTTTCTGGGCTCTTTTCCGATCTGCAGGCAGTGTCTAGAGTTCAAGAGAGGGTGGCACAAGCACCAAACCCTGCTTAGTCTAGTCGCGGGAACAAGTCGGATGTGCAAAACATGTGCCTTTACGACTGTATGACACGTCGGGCACGTGCAGCAAAAACTTATAACACCGATGCGAAATTCTGGAAAGCCATATCTGAACCATATAGCAGTTTCTGGAAAGAAAAATTGAGAAGCCCTACCCTAAACCCCAAGCCCCTAACCCTAAACCCTAAACCCTAAACCCTAAACCCTAAACCCAAACCCTTAACCCCCTCTCCCCCACCCTACCTGCTCGGCAGCTCTCTCAGCCATAGCGGTGGGCCCAATGCTCCAGGAAGGCTAAAGGGGTCGCGGATGATCCATAAAACATAACTAAGGACCTTCATCATTAGAATAGGGTTGGAGGTACACTGTAGTCACTATGCAACTGCTGTCTAGCCCGGGGTGTTGTTGTTCCGTAGAGCTGTAGATCTAGCAGTTGAATGTTCGCACGTGCGACATCAACGCCACTGCTTCCAGAACATCCCCTGTCAGTACTACTGCTACTGCTACGACATTCTCCTAGATCCTACTGCAGTCTATTACTACAGTTTACTACTGCTACTACTGAGACTACTACCTTGACTGCCACTAATGATGCTGCTGCTGCTCTGATTGTGATGCAAACGATGCAAGCCGAAGGGTGCGACAAAGTGATCCTGCAGATCTCATGGCGGGCACAGATTTGCTCGGACCCGAAATCCCAGAAGCGAACTTCTATTCCTTTTCTTGCATCCGTGCTGGAAAGCTTGTCCCTGAGAAAGGCTGTGCTCGACACTAGCCATCCCGGAAAGCGTATCGACCTACTTTCGCCACCCACTCCGTTTGGAGTTGCTGCTGTGGCAAATAGTCGGTCGACGCAAGCCAACCCTCGGGCTTAGCCGAGGAAGGCAACTAGCCCTAGACTAGCCCTGTCCGAAGTTTCCCGGCTGCACGCCCATGGTGATGGCCGCCTCATCCAATTCCTGCTTGGTCAAGCCTTTCTTCTC